CGTTGAAATGCTCAAGCCTGCATACTTTCTACGTGAAGCAGAGGATATTAATGTAAATCAAACATCACCAAAACCACATGTTAAAAAAGGCTTGACCATTTCATCTGGAGAACAAACAACATTATCTTCCAATGTAACACCAATCATTCCTGAATTGAGGAATCCTTCAAATTTTACTTTTAAGAAGATTACTGTAGGGGAGAGTCGGTAGTGGCGAGAAACGCTTTGTTTTTTTTGTGTAGGACTCATATTTTCATGAATATTTGGTCTGCTTTTGTGCAGACAGACTAGTGAGACTATCTTTTACAAATTTACATAATATAGATAGCATATGTCTTCAAAAAAAAAAGTTATTACCGAATTTCAAAAATGTCCCGCGACTACTGTCATTCAAAAACGTCGGTAGTGGCGAGACATTACTTTGAATCGCAAATTTTTCAATTACGGCTTTCAATTTCAAAGCATTTGGGTTCCTTTGTGTCCCTTTTAAATTGATTACGTTTTTTACATCTAAAAAAAGAGTTAAGATTATTATTTTTATTATTACGGATTATTTGAAAATACATACGCAACTTTAAGATTAGGTTATTTTTATGCAAAATATTGCCGACAAAACTTAAAAAAAATAATACCGAAGTCATTTAGAAATGTACTATTTTATAAGATTTAAACAACCAGTGTCCGGACACTGCCAACAATAAGTGTCTCGCCATTGCCGAAACAGTGATTTACGGTAATAACGATCTACAATTGTGTCTATCGGACTATTATGCATAATGTTCTAGGAATTTTGAAGGAATCTTATATACTAATAACTTAAAATATTTGCCGTTAACCAAATTTTGAAAAGTTTAATTTTATAAACACTTTTTCATACAAAGAATAAAACTTTAAAACTTGCTTAAAACTATTAACAGCATTATAGTGACAGATTTTACATCCAGAAAGTGTGTATCATATAAAAAGCTTCAACAGAATAAAACTTTACTTTTACACCAAAAAAAGCAACACTGTCAACTCAGCTGTTTGAAATATCGCAGTGTCTCGCTATACCCGCTGTCTCGCCACTGCCGACAACGCCCTACTTAAAACTTATTCTAGAAAGAAAAAAGTTAGTTTCAAGGAGCGATTGGAATGTATGTGATCGCGTTAAATTTAGTATTATTATATGTACAGTATTATTATTATTATTATTTAGTATTTTGAAAATGTAAATAACACATATGTATATCTTTATTTTGTATTCTCTCAAACAGAACTATATAGATTGTTTAACGTTTAGATATAAAATTCGATTTTAAGTAATCAGCCCCATTAACATTTTATAAAAGAAATAGTTAATTATTAAAATTAAAAATTTTATTTGATTCAATTATAATTTTTATCATCGATATTTTGTTATTTTTCCTTTTTAGTTATATTTTTATAAAAAAAATTTTAAAAATATTTTTATTGTATATATATCATTGTTATTAAGGGAGGAGTATGTGGGAAATGCTTAATATTCTTCTCTCCCCACTTCGTATAGGGGCTGATCGGTGATAGCAACCGTTGCTAAGGAGATTGAAAGATAGTTCAGTGTGCGTTGAGATCGAGAGATTTATACACGTGTTATCGATATCATTTAATTTATGATAAATAAATAAGTTATTAACTAAATTTGGTGAACAATTATTTTAATACTATAATTAGTGAATCCTATGGTTTGGAGAACCATAATATATATTTTAAATTCAAACAAATCTCCACATCAAACCCTCTTGGCGGGGCACCGACAGATTAGCTCAGTCGGATAGATGCCTGGCGTTGGCGGTCGTTTAAGGACCAAGGGCATAAGTATCCTTGGTTCGCGCCCACTTGGCTTGGTATTTTTCCGGCACGTGAGACAATCTGAGCGGGAGGTTTGACGTCGAGGTATAATGATGTGCACCGTCGATTATTGTCCGGTACACACCATTAGAACTCGACTGTCGATAAACCGGTTGTACTCAGGAGAGGTTTTCTACAGTTTCCCTCTTCTCTGGCGAGAAAACCCATTGACGGGTGGTCCAGGCGCAATGCGAGTACTCCTAATAAAAGTCGTCTGTAGACGCAAATTAGGTTAATATATAGAAAATTTATGTAGAATGGTTATGCTTAATCCAAAAAAAGTATTTCTCGGGGACTCTTGTCGAAGTGCGTAAGGCCAATAGGGCAGGAGCATAAACAATAAAAAAAACCCTCTTGGCGGGGTATTTAAATTTTTATTTTTAAACTTTCAAGTGGGTTAGAAGGGATGATCTGTTTTACCGACATCTGAGTTCCGGCTGCCACCGAGAGATGGCGCCACATGTGAATACTGACTCACTTGGCGGAAAATTTTAATTTTTATTCTAAAAATTTCAGGTGGGTTAGAAGGAATGTTCTGTTTTACCGAAATCTGAGTTTCGGCTGCCACCGAGAAATGGCGCCATTGGATAATTCAAATCCCCTTGGCGGGATATTTAAATTTTTATTTTTAAACTTTTAAGTAGGTTAGAGGGCATAATTTTAAATTTCGCGCCATTAAAAAATGATTTCAAACCCTTTGACAGGATATTTAAATTTTATTTTTGTAATTAAAAGTTTTAAGTGGGTTAAAAAGAGTGCTCTGTTTTACCAACCAGGTATCCTACTTTAACAAATATTGACTGACACTGGTTGAGAGCATTATATTTGAATTTTCATATCCACATTTTTAACCTTACTCTTACTGACTGAAAACCTAACGTTTTTAATTGACTTTGAAACCTAAAAATTAAAGTATATTATTATTATTTATTTTTTTTTTGCTTAGGGACTTTTGGGAAATCTGCCTACAGCTACCTTGGACTCCGCACTCCAAGGTTATGTGGGGTTGGTGTGATAAAACAAAAGGAGATAAAAAAAAGAAAAATAAATATATAAAATAGTGAATTTAATAAACTGGCGACCTAATGCCAGCCCGACCCACTAAAACCCGTAACCCTTCTTCTGGAGCCCTTTACCCTCCCTCGGAACTGTCGTAAGACTTTAGCCTTCGTGGGTGGCGCTCCAACTCTGTCGCTAATGTGACTTTCTGCTTTTCTCTGCGGTTAACCTGCGTCCATAGTTAAAAAAAAAATTTTTTTTTTAACTATTTCAAAGTATAAGCGGAATTTACAGCACAACAATAAAAAAGCAAATTCTAAAAAGTGTAAAAAGTCAAAAGATAAAATTACAAACGGATATATAAAAAAAAGAAAAAATAAACGCGTGTAAAATATTGAAAACATAAAACTGTACAAAGATGAATAAAAAACACAAACAATTAAAAAATGTAAAAGGACAAATAAATCACAAAATAAATTAATAAAAAACAAACGTACAAAATTAAAAGCTGTTTAAATTACGCTTTTTGGCGGCCGTCGAGATCCTTCCTCGACATAACCGAGATTATGAAGTTCTCGACTTGCCGCCAATTCTCTTCCGACTGGGTCATCAGCGATACCATGTTCTCCGGTGTAACTTGACTATTTACACCTTCGAACATGGCCCGCCTCTCCAAGTCCCATTTTCTGCATGAGAAGAGGGTGTGCTCCGCGTTGTCCTCAGGGAACTGGCAATATGCACACACCTCGTCCTCGCGTAATTTAAAGCGACACAGGTACGAGTTAAAACACCCGTGACCTGTGAGCGCCTGAGTCAAATAATAGGAAACCTGACCGTGTTTCCTATTTATCCAGGTGGCGAGTGCCGGGATAAGGCGATAAGTCCATCGACCTTTTTCCTCACCATCCCATCTTTCTTGCCATCTTTCTATGAGCCTGTGCCTCGCTTCTTTGCGGATCAGGCCCTTGCTTGGTCTTATTTCCTCATCTAAGGAACTTCTTTCTTTAGAAAAGAGAAACATTTCTTCCCTTTCCCTCGCCAAAAGATCTGCTGGCGGGACACTTGCAAGGACCTGCACAGCACTCGTAGATACCGTCTTATATGCAGAGATGATACGCGTTGTTATCGATCTCTGCGCCGACAGTATCTTTTCACAGATGGTCACACATCTTTTGCACCTTAGGGATGGGGCCCACGCTGGTGCTGCATAGAGCATTTTAGCGTGGACGACACTTGCCACCAGTCTCCGCTTGTGTTCACGGGGTCCGCCTACATTTGGCATTAACCGTGAAAGATTAGCCGCACACTCGATCGCCTTATTTGACGCCGTAGCCATGTGGTGGTGGAAGTTTAACCTTCCATCCAACTCCACACCAAGATATTTAATTTGCTTACTCCACTTGACCTCGAATTCGTCTATCACGATTCGTGGGAGCTCATAACCACGTCTGTCTGTGACCAGCAGTGCCTCGGTCTTTTCCAGGGCCATTTCAAGACCTCTGGTATCCAGCCAGCTTTTTTCTAGTCGCAGACTATTATTATTTGTTTATTTGTTTTTCTAAAGAAAAAAGTTCACGTTCTTTTTAAGAAATTACGCTTTTGTCAATTTTTAATTATAATTTGATTTTATAATGCTATTGGTAGACATTTTTGAATTTCTACCAACTTTATAAAAGTTAATTAAGTTGGCAGCAGTGCTGGTCAGTAAGAGCTAGGTTAAAACATGTGGATCTGTGTGGATCAGTACTGATGTCAATATGAAAAAGAGAGCACGTTAAAGTGCCATATAATGCAGTCCTGGTGAAAAAAATGGTTAGTACAAATTAATTATTTTATAACTATTATTTTCTATATTATTAAAATTGTTTACTCGATTATGAGTTTAATTATTTAACCTGCTTTGTTTTAGAATCCTAACAATAATATTTGCTGCTTTTGCCGGCTTGTAATGGTAAATACAAGAAGACTAGAAACAGGAGGTCTAACTTCGCTTGATTTCTATGTGCAGTGGGGGTAAAAATAGTGGGGTCTAGAGACGGTGGAGTTTTCAGTTTGGGAATTTGCGCAGTAGATGAATTTTGTAATTTCGCGCATAATAACCACATTGAGGTTATATACCGAAAATGACAGCTGTCTGCTATTGTGTGTTTAGAATAGGTTATGCGTTTTATGCTTGGCAAGCATAGTTATTGAAAAAAGGTTTAAAAGTGATAAAGTTTAGAAAAATTTAAGAATATTGAAAATAATATTCTTGTTTTTTAATAATTGAAAATTAGCGACTCATTGGAAACGTTTGAAGGTAATATTTATTATGGCTAATTTTTTATATGAGTTTCTTTTATATAGATTCTTTTATATAGAAAACAACTATTAAATATTATTTTTGTAACAGATAACAATCTGTAAAATGGAGCAGTTAAAATCAACTCTCGATCAGGATAATATGGAATTTAACTACAAGAAGATAAAAGAAAATGTGTACAACTTAAAATTACCAAACCAAAGGTGGACGACAATAAAGGATCCAAGTGGTAAAATAATGTTTTTAAGAATTGAGGAAGATTATCGCTCATATTTAGCAGTTTCTATTAACTCAGAGCTGGATATGAAAGTTTACTATCGTTCGAAAGTATTAAAGTGGATAAAGTGCGACAAACCGCAGAAGGAAGAAGATATTGAAAATGTCTTACAAATGATTGATAGAATTATTTACTCTGAAATAATGTACATGGGTCAAATTTTCTCAAAAAAATCAAAGTTGGTCATGGGTCTTTTAATTTTTGTGAAACTTGGTATAAAGGTAGTGTTTTATGACAGAAGATTTTAGGAAAAAAAGATTTTTCAAAAATTTTAAAATTGTGGATTTTACCGGGCATGAAACATTAAAGCACATTTTTTTGAAAAACGAATAACTTTTATCCATTTAGTTAGACTTTGTTTATAGTTTAGGTAATAATAGTTGATTATCTAACAATTTAAAGTGCAATATTAAAGAAAAAAAATCCTAAATTTGCCCAGAAAAAAAGTCAAAAAAAATTTTGATTTCATTTTTTCGGGCATAAGCACCCCATCGATTTTTTTGTAACTATAATATTTGGATTCGTTATCTTCTCCAGAATTTTTTGCAAAAAAAAATCCCTGGAGACCTTAAAACTAACCGAAATATCGAATTTTTTGTCTCGAGGTGCACAGATATCGATCTCGCGTAAACACGCCTGAGATGTGCACCAAACGTTCTTAAGCGTGAATTTTCGCATTCTAATAATTTTTTGTTAATTTTGAGTAAAAAAGGAAGGTTTAAAAATCAAGCTTTGCAATTACAAATTTGTTTTTAAACAATTTTGAATCTCAAAATGTGTATGTAATATATAAGGGGCAAATTATCTCAAGTGTACCAATGTTAAAATTGCAAGTTGTTAGATCGGGCTAATATTTTCACAGTATTTAGAACTATGAATCAGTACTTAACCACCAAGTAATTATGAAATTTTATAAAAAAATGTAGGGGGGTTGAAGATTTTGGATAAGTATAAACAGTGAGTTTTATAAAAAATCGTAGCTTTTATATAATAAAGAAAAAAATTGTGACCTATATGTTTTTGGTAGGTTTTTTCTGCTCTATCAAATAGTAAGAATTTTTTTTAAAAATTCAAAATTTAACCCTTCTTTTAAAAATTAAAAATTTTTTTGAAAAAATTTTTTTTTTAACTATACTTACCGGCTTAATATTTTTTGACATTTTCTAAAGTACATTTTTTTAATTTTTACATTTTTGATGTAAGAAGAGATGATTATTTTTTATCTGAATAATTTTTTATTATTTTAATATCAATATCAAGCGTGATACACGCATAAGGTGTTGAATATTTTATTTAAACAATCGTTGCAAATAACTGAAATATATTTTTTAAAGTAGAATTATATCAACATTTGTTTTAAAAAAAACTAACACTTTATCTTTATTTTTATAAATATTTATTTGTAAAACGTCAATTTAATTAAAATACTTCATATTGTAAAATATTTCAATTTTTATTAATTAATTAATTAATAATTCCAAAAAAAACTTCATTTTTTTTTATTTCATATATTGAAAGTACACATCATAAGCTTTCTTTTGGTACAAGAAAAAAAGGGCTTTTTTAAAAAAAAATCAAAAAAATTTTTAATTTTTAAAAGAGTTAAATTTTGAATTTTTTTAAAAAAATTCTCACCATTTGATAGAGCAGAAAAAACATATAGGTCACATTTTTTTTTTATTATATAAAAGCTACGATTTTTTATAAAACTCACTGTTTATACTGATCCAAAATCTTCAACCCCCTCCCCCCTACATTTTTTTATAAAATTTCATAATTACTTGGTGGTTTTAAGTACTGGTTCATAGTTCTAAATACTGTGAAAATATTAGCCCGATCCAAAAACTTGCAATTTTGACATTGGTACACTTGAGAAAATTTGCCTCTTATATATTACATACACATTTTGAGATTCAAAATTGTTTAAAAACAAATTTGTAATTGCAAAACTTGATTTTTAAACCTTCCTTTTTTACTAAAAATGAACAAAAAAATATTAGAATGCGAAAATTCACGCTTAAGAACGTTTGGTGCACATCTCAGGCGTGTTTACGCGAGATCGAAATCTGTGCACCTCGGGACAAAAAATTCGATATTTCGGTTAGTTTTAAAGTCTCCAGGGATTTTTTTTTGCAAAAAATTCTGGAGAAGATAACGAATCCAAATATTATAGTTACGAAAAAATCGAAGGGGTGCTTATGCCCGAAGAAATGAAATCAAAATTTTTTTGGAGTTTTTTTCCGGGCAAATTTTGGTTTTTTTTCTTTAATATTGCACTTTAAATTGTTAGATATTCAACTATTATTACCTAAACTATAAGCAAAATCTAACTAAATGGATAAAAGTTATTCGTTTTTCAAAAAAAATGTGCTGTAATGTTTCATGCCCGGTAAAATCCACAATTTTGAAAAATCTTTTTTTCCTAAAATATTCTGTCATAAAACACTACCTTCATACAAAGTTTCACAAAAATTGAAAGACCCATGACCAACTTTGATTTTTTTGAGAAAATTTGACCCACTTACAAGTTCTTTTTCTATTTTAGTGTAATTCCTAATTCTTATCAAATTTTTTTAGTTTCTTTCCTCCGTGAACATTTCTACATTTATAAGGCATTGCAAAATATTTTATTTGTTATAATTTTATAAAAAAAATGCAAAATAAAGTGATAAAAGTAATAAAATAAAAAAATTTAAATTAGTGACAAAGTTATTTCTCTGCAATTGGCCAAAACCTTGCGTCAACCTTAAATGAGGTTCTGGAGCCCCCACTAATTAAAATAGAGTCGTCACATACTACTCACTACCAGTTATTGCAATAAAATTTCTTTTATAATTAATTTTTCACACGGGTTTAAGACAATGTAAAGAAATTAAAAAAAATTAATTGTAAAAAAAAATTTTGATAGTAAAAATAATAGGAAGAAAAAAAATTTTCTTCTGTCAACAAGAAACCAAATTAAACCTTAAATGAGGTTCTGGAGCCCCCACTAATTAAAATAGGGTCATCACATACTACTCACTACCAGTTTAATTATGAAACTGAAAGAGAAAAATTTTATTCTCAATAAAACTTTCGTTTTCAGGTTCTTCTTGATTCAGGTTGACAATAAAGAGAATTAATTTTCTTTTTTTACCAAAAAAAATTCAATGCCACTGAAAATAGTATAATGAAATTTTAACACTTTGAAAGAGGGACAAAATATAAATTATTTTAAAATTTTCCTGAAAATTAAGAAAAGAAAATTCTTCTCCCGTCAGTAGAAATTCAGAATAACCTTAAATGAGGTTCTGAAGCCCCCACTAATTAAAATAGGGTCATCACATACTACTCACTACCAGTTAAATAATGAAAATACAAGGAAAATCTTAATAAAGATATTTTCTTGTAATTTCTTTAAAACTTAAACTGACACTAAAAAGATTCTTCCTTCATTAACCCATTAAAGCCCATGACTAGACAAATGAAAATATCATCAAAATTATTATTGGAAACAGGACTGTGGATCAAATAATGACTTTTGACGTCAAAAATTGTTTAAAAAATAATTTGTTTATAAAAATTGTTATAAACAAATGGAGAAAATTAATAAAATTTTAAAAACTAATAGCGCCATTCGATTCTACGTGAAAAATTACTAAAGGAACATGTATGACATTGTAAAAATTTTTACTCAGTTTGTTGTAAATAATTTATAAACAAATAATAATGCACACTCATGTACCTATTTGAGCCCATCATTACACAACTAAACATTTTATCAAAATTATGATTGAAAACAGGACTGCGGATCAAATAATGACTTTTGATGTCAAAAATTGTTTGAAAAATAATTTGATTATAAAAATTGTTATAAACAAATAGAGAAAATTAATAACATTTTTAAACTTATAGTGCCATTCGATTCTAAGGGAAAAGACTAATAGAATATTTTTTAAATTTAAAAAATTATGAATCAACAAATTCTGACTGCATTTGTTCGTATGAAATATTTAACCTTTAGAATTACTGTCACTGTTGTTCATTTGTTTATAACAATTTTTATAAACAAATTATTTTTTAAACAATTTTTGACGTCAAAAGTCATTATTTCATCCGCTGTCCTGTTTCCAATCATAATTTTGATGAAATGTTTAGTTGTGTAATGATAGGCACAAATAGGTACATGAGAGTGCACTATTTGTTTATAAATTATTTACAACAAATCGAGTGAAAATTTTTAAAAAGTCATACATGTTCCTTTAGTAATTTTTCACGTAGAATCTAATGGCGCTATTAGTTTTTAAAATTTTATCAATTTTCTTCATTTGTTTATAACAATTTTTATAAACAAATTATTTTTTAAACAATTTTTGACGTCAAAAGTCATTATTTGATCCGCAGTCCTGTTTCCAATAATAATTTTGATGATATTTTCATTTGTCTAATCATTGGCGTTAATGGGTTAACAGCATGCACAGGGAAAAATTATAAATTCTAAAATATTTAGAATTGAATAAGATAAAATTCTCACAAGCAAGCGTACTTGCGCGTGAAAAGGTGTATTAACCGTACACGGTGAGCTTGAATTAATTTTAACCCAAAAGTGCCCCCCCATTTAATTTTTTTTCTGATTTTTATTCTGTTATTAAAACTGATTAATTTAAGCTAAAAACGAAAATCATCTATGGAAGGAATTAAAAGAAAACTCAATTTTTTGTAGGTTAAATATTTTAACTTAACTTAAAACTATTCCATGGTTGAAATTCTTTGTTCGAATTTTCGTGGATTGACCGCAAACAGTATTTATCGAATTTTTCATCAAAAAAGCATGTAATATCAATTTTTTAATCTGTAAAAACAATAAAAATGTATTTTTACTCTTTTGGAAGAGAAATTATTATACTTACTTACAGCTTGGTAGGTATAAGAAAGATAGAAAGCTTGAGATATTCTTTTATTATTTGAAAATTGAAATAAGAAGCGTTGAAACATAAATTACTTATTAATTAACAAAAAATAGTTTATTCAAGACGGGTTTCGATGCAAACTTTTGAAGTAATATAACTGTTAACGAACAACTTTTAATACATTAAACTTCTTAAAATTAGTTTTGTAAAAAATGTACATACATTCAAATTGAAATGAATTGTAATGAATTATATTCACATAAAGCATGTAATGCTTTATGTTTCGATGCAAATTCGATGCAAACTTTTGAAGTAATATAACTGTTAATGAACAACTTTTAATACATTAAACTTCTTAAAATTAGTTTTGTAAAAAGTGTACATACATTCAAATTGAATGTAATGAATTATATTCACATAAAGCATGTAATAGTCTACTCGAATACTCTGGATGCGTCTTGAGCACACTGTATTTGTTCCAAGTCTGTTGGAAATCTGCATGTACGGACTCCATAGCTTGTTCGCTATAGAAACCCAACGCTTTCTGTGTTTGTTCACAAAAATCCAAAACATGAAAAAAAGCAGCGTGAACTTTCGGTGTAATGGGTATCCCTAATTCTAGATAACTTTGTTTAAATGTGTCAATTTTTTCTTTAAATGTCGGGTCGAGTCTATCACTGAAGCAAGCTTTGACAACTGAATTAAAATTTTCGAAAACTTCTACAAATGCTAAGCATCCTATGTTATTTGAACATGATCGGAGTACATCAGTTTTACTTAGTAATGATTTACAAGCGTTTCCATTAAAGCCCGAACTACCGTGACGAACATCTCGAACTACAGAACATTTAGTTGCCCACATTAGAGCATCTTCTTCAAAGTTGCGAAGTAAATGCGTGTACAAAGTATTCGTTACGCCCAACATTAAATGTAGTTCTGGAGGTGGAATGACAAAGAGAAATGACTCGTCCTCTTTTGCTGTGATCATAGGAGGATGAATGCAATTTTTGAACAACTTTGCATTAGATTTTTTACTCCCTGATTTACGCCAATTCTCAAAATTTTCTGTAATACTACGAACGGTTCTATACTCTCCGCAAACATTCATTTCATTTTTCTTAACATAACACCAAGTGCAGGGATATAAGCTGCTATGCGCCATAACACCAACTAAAATATTAGCTAATTTTAAATCAGTAGCTATTGAGCCTTGGAATTGATTTATTTTTAACATCGTCCATATCTGTGCTACATTTTCAAAATTCTCTTGAGATTCCTGTACTATTGCTAATATAAGTAATTTTTTAACACCTGATTCTTTGAATTTTTTGGCGCATATTCCGTCACTGAATTTTTGGCGATGCTTATCTGTTACCTGTGTTTAAATATTTGACTGTATTGATAAACATAGTTTCAAGAAATTTCCCCCTCCATCTATGCCAAATTTCAGATGAAAATCAAAAATTCCACGCTTTTCGGAGACATACTGAACTAGACCTTCCACATTTGTGCAAAACACAACTATTTTATTTTCTTTGATACTTTCCTGACCCTTGTTTTTCGTAAAAGTAAATGTTTTTAAATCGAAAAATTTATCAACGCAATGACTTTTTGTAGATAACAATTTCTTCAAGTTTGGTTCAATGACCTTCGAATTTTTTGTAGCAACACGCAATGCTTTTGCTATTTCTAATGTCTTTCTCTGTGATATTTGTGTACCTGTTTGAATTTTTAAGAAGTCGTCCGCTGATAACATTGTTTTCTTTGTGAAGCTTTTATCCTCCTTGGTACCAACGACGACTTTAAGAGGTTTGCCTCCATGTGGTTGACTAAGAGATAAACTTGATTCATCATCTCCCAATTTTCTTTTCAATAATGATGAAATTACTTGTTCGACAACTTTGGGTCCTGCCTGTTCAATTTGATTAGTCAAATTTTCAATGCGCCTAGGATGACATGCATATGTTTATAATTTTGACCACATTCATTTGTTCACGAATGCGTACAGTGAGATGTAAGCAAATAAGCATAGCAATTACTCATAAAAAACACAAAAGAAATGCGAATTTTCGTTGTTTTACCGTTTACATAATTAATATTACATTTTTTGTAATAAAATACATATAAATATTGTTTGTGGTGAGCGTACACAAATTCAAAGCTTAAAATTTTAACCATGGAATAATTTTAAGATAGATTGAAACAATGAACCTGCAAAAATTTAAGAAAAATTGAGTTTTCTTTTAATTCCTTCCATAGATGATTTTCGTTTTTAGGTTAAATTAATCAGTTTTAATAACAGAATAAAAATCAGAAAAAAAAATTAAATGGGGGGGGCACTTTTGGGTTAAAATTAATTCAAGCTCACCGTGCGTAGACAAGAGAGAAACCAAAAAAAAATTTGTTTTTTGAAAATTGAAGAAAAAATTTGTTTTTCAAAAAAAAAATTTTTTTTGAAAAATTTAAAATGGGGCTGGGCAAACACGTGAGAAAGATTCCACCGCTGCCATCATCAGCTTGTTACAATCTAGAATTTATTTATTTATAAAATTGAGCTTTTGAGATGGCTCATAATTCTAATTTGGGGAGGCACCAAGCTGCCAAGGCCTGAAGGACCTTGTTTAATTTTGCGGGATCGTTATTCCTGTTTTAAAAGTAGGAATCCGCCAATCCACGAAACACTAAAATATAATTCGAACTCAAAAGAAAGGAAAAAGAGAAACCAGGGCAGATAAAAACACTATTTTACCCTTCAATACAATTTATTTAAATTTAGAAAATTTAAAAAGAAAGAATTCACAGATTGCAGTCAATAACTATTTTAATTAACACATATCAAATGGAAGAAAAGTTTAGAGGAACGATACATAGTCTTTTGTGTAACTTACTTAAATAGTCCTTAAATTCTACCGTTGGCTGGTTAGTATTATCCTAGTCCAACAGGCGGAGCTGAGGCACAATTGTCTTTAAATTTTAAGCACGCACGAGACGCACTTTTCCGGAGCCGTCAAGCGCGGAACGGTCGCAGGCACTACGCGCACACTGGCCGGTCAAACAAGACAAGGATTTTAAGAATTTTATATTTCTAAAATACTCATCTGGCTCGATCCCCGATGGACTTCGTCGACTTGAAGATTTTGATTTTATTTACGTCCGCCCAACTTGTTCGCACAATCCAGTTGTGGGACATAAGTTGGGTTTCGACTCGCGGACGGGCTTAGCCGATTTTCCGA